TAAAATTCATTCAGTAGTTTTTGCGTGAAAGAGTAACAAACATTCAGACATCCATACATACATCCTCACAAACTTTCGCATTTACAATATTAGTAGAATGGAAATCGCATAGCCATATACGAATATGTCTGAAAACAAAGTTTTCCGTCGAGCCCCTTTTGATATGGAATGAAAGTAACATACCATTTAAATATTTTTGTAGTATAAACGAGTTCATTTTTCAAATGTTCATCAAAAATAGTTTGCAGTGTGGAAATTCCTATGGTGCAATAAATGTAACACCGTATGCGATCGTCAATGGTTTCGAAATAACAAATCAAACGTCCTATATCTCACTAAAACAATGAAATATTTTATTTTCTTTACTTTTGTTTTTATTTTACATGAAAACACTCGCAAAAAAAGGTTTTGCCAAAAGCGGAGTTGTACCCTTTAAATATTTGACATTATTTAGATAACCAAAATTATTTATAAATATCATATGTATAATATTTACCTTGTTTATATTATTATAATAGTATCTATCTACAGTTATATATGATGTTTAAACGAAGATATAATATTGCATTACATTTTTAGACATCTAAGCACGCACCCAAGTAAAGCTAAAGAATATGTCGTTAGTCTATACTAATATTATAAAGAGGTAAAGTTTGTGAGTTTATGAGTTTGTGACATTGTAGGGTGTAATCTCTGGATCTACTGAACTGATTTAGATGAAATTTGATAAGAAGATAGTTTGAAACCTTGGAAAGGACATAGGATACTTTTTATCACGGAAGTCATCCTTTAAGGGGATGAAAATGGGGATGATAGTTTGTTTGAGGAACCTAAAGACGAACCCGAGCGAAGCGAGGGTGAGTCGCTAGTATATAATATTCTTTTAAATATCAATAACATTTCTATTTATATTAATTAACGTTTTACGTTTTCGTGAACATCTAAAGAAAGTACGGCAAAGAAATTTATTATATTAGAGTATAAAACGTCTAGTTTAAACCACCTGCTTTTAATAGCGCCTCGAAAATCCCGTGAAAGGTGGGAGTGGACAATACATTCGCATTCAAAGCAACTGCCGGCTCATTTCCGAAGTGTCACGATGAATAAAGCTGCGTGTAGATTTTTTATTTAAGTATATGCAATATACAATCATACGTATGTAATATACGTACACATCGTATGAAAAAAATCGTTAGATTAACTCTTTTCCATCTAGAGTTAAAACTTACAATTATAAATACAGCTAATATATGTATATAGCCGTAGCAATAGGTCAGTTTAATTTCAATTTTATTTGTAATCCTTTTATGATGGTCTTATATAAATCCGGCATTATTTTTTTATACATTACTGAATTGTCATCGGTCCTTGTTAAATGTGCAAAGTTTCAGTTCGATTTGAAGTTTTTAAGTGGGTGAAAATCGCGTTCAAAAATCCGTTACGTATACTCGTATAGATAGATACAGGTGAAGCTAATAAAAGCATGTTAAAAATATATGCGAAACACCAGAATAAAAATCAATCTAACCAAAATTATCATATTTTCAAATCAAATACAAAATTATGTAATAGTGTTATGGATACCGGATAGTTGATACACTACTCGTATATATCTTTAAATACATACATATTATAAATATAAACACCCATGACTGGAGTACAAACATTCGTCATCACACAAATGAATGCCCCCAGCGGGACTCGAACCCGCGACCGCTGGCACAGCAAGTACGGTCACTACAAACTGAGCCAAACGTGTCGTCAAAAAATCAATAAAAAAACTTTGGAAACGTTAGTTTCTTGTAATAATGATTATAGTGCATTTCGACCACTAGGTAAACCATAGTATACATATATTAGTCTGGAGTCTTATGAACACAGCTTAAAACGACGCTCGTTTCGAAATTAAAAGTGAACTTTAGGGGAACAACAGTGTAGTTTCGAGTTTGAACAATGTAGTAGCTAGCCTCGTTGCGTTTGACTTCAGCAACTAGTTTAGGAACTAGACACTAGACGAGAAGCGTTTGTTCTGTCTGTAGTACTAATTTTGGATAAGTATCATAAGTTTCGTACTATATATAGGCATTATATTAAATTACTTCTTTAACCGTCTTCAACAAAAGATATTTCCATTTGGATGTGTTTGTTTTCATTTACCTGTAAAAACGTAACAAACAGGCAGACATAATTTCATATTAACAATATTAATTGGATATGTAGTAATTTTTTCGAATATTATATCTATACTAACAACGATATGTACAAATTGACAAAAGTACATTACAATCAAGGGAAAGAACATGCACTTTGCACTTACGATCTCTCACATTAGAACTCACGGGGGTGGAAGAGGCCGTCACTTTAAGAGGTCGAGTCAAAGGCGCGGAAATATTACCTAGCAGTGTTCCTGCATACGTCAGCGAGCTGGAAACATGAGCACAATAGAAGGTAGAAGCATCTTGACGGCCAGATTAAGATAACACCTTACACTCGCGCAACGCAAATGTCTCTATAGACTGCATTTCTAAAGCTACTGTTGACTTTTGAAATGTAGCGGGGCACAAAATTCTTTCTGACATCCGACATCTATGAAATGCTCGTACACCGTGCCCTAGCTTGGTACGAATTAAGTCAAAGGCGACTTGTTAAATTGAGAAGCATTCATCATCTAAACAAGCTTTATAAGTAACTCAGTAAAGAACGCAATATTTTCACCTTAAAGAGGTACTTTAAATAATGATCTCTTTGTCATGGAGTGCAACCGTCTGTTTTATTTAGTATTGTCTAAAGATAGGAATAATGGAGTTATCATTATATTTCAAATTTAATTTAATCTCAGGTATCAGCTTGCAATATTTTACTTACTAAGGCGGATTTGAAAGAAGAGATCAAAGATCACAATCTTGAATATATAGATTTGTCTCGAACTTTTTGAAAATTGTTTAAAATGTAAATGTCTTACTGGAAATTTCTAAAACAGAAAAAGTAAAATAATATACTAACTAGGTATGTACATATATATTAGTTTTATTAATTTAAAAATATTTACTGGCTATTTTTAATATAAGTAAAACAACACTTACTATCTAAAGACGAATTCTCAGACACTAAAGCTAAAACGTATAAATTTTGAATATATTAAGTACATTACAAATTACAAAAAAAGATTCTGAAAAATCAATCCCTAAAAGTTAAATAAGGATTGCAACTTATATGAGACAAACAAACAAACAAATCAAAATAGAGGTTACTACTTTCATCATTATTATAAGTATATATAAAAAAAACCTAAAAAATAAACTTTTCTATAGAAATACCAAAATGCTTTGATTCTATTATTATTTGTTAATGAATATTGACAATAGCATATTTACATAATATATTATGTAACTCTACAAAAGCTATAATATTACAGAATATCAAGAGAAATTAATCATACACGAATGTAAATAAACAAAACGAAAGGGAATAGAAATAGAAATATAAATATAGTGCACGCTATTGAAGACCACTCGAGGGTGCAGTCAAAGCTTTGAACTGAGTAATTGTGATAAGTTCGTACGTAGTACATGATATTTAAGAGGACTTATACGTTTAATAGTTAATACATTGCATTTTTTTTATTTGTTTAATCAAATCTAATTAAAAGTAATAAAGGCTTAATGTTAAATAAACGATAATTAGCTTAGAATATAAACATTTACCCTCCTTTATTTGAAGTAGTCAAATATAATTGTGCAGTTACTCGTACTACACTGAACAGTGAATATTTTAAAAAAAACATTTTTATTTGGAAAGTGGTAGTAAAAGATTGTTGTCAGTTCACAAATTGAACATTTATAATATTATCAAAAAATTAAAAATACTCGGTGTGATTCTTTCTCTGCACCGCTAATAGTTGCAGCCTACGTAAAAAAATCAAGGAGACTTAAATACGTCATCCTACAACTGTTTAACCCTTAATTTGGCAGAGATCCGAGTTGTTTTATTTTATGAAATAAAATGTATTTCTGAAGTCCTAGGGTTAAATACAACTTGGAAAAAATAGATAAAAAAATATTTTATTTACAGGTTTTCAGGAAATCAATGTTCATCACAGTGAACACTGCAAAATACGTTGAGAACAACAAGTAATTTGTAATGTTTGTTAATGTTCACTGTGGTAAACATTATCAAATTAGTGTTGTTTATACAGGTAAAATAAAAATACTATGTATATCAATAAATCAAATTATTTATTATGGAAATGTTAAAAACAATTGCGAGGATTTTTTCCCGTAACAAGGCAAAGTCTCATATTGCATTTTATACAATATACGTTGTATTTTTTGGCGAAACTTGCATCGCGCCATGTCTTCCTTTGGGCGTAATAATGTCCTGTATTATCGAATCTGATGGTGCTTGTAGGCCTGGCTGATCTTAGATTTACATTCCTGCATTTTATCATGAGGTACAGATCGGTTTTCTTTTGTTAAACTCAAGAAAATCTCATATCCAAAAACTTTCAGTGACTGTGATTTTTGTTGATTTCTATAACAGTTACGTTTATACAATAGCCAAAGCATTATTTATACATACGTATATATAGCAATTGACTAAATATTTCTATGTATCACCTTCTTGTTTTAAACGGAACTTTATACAATGATATCAACATATCAACCAGTAGGTATACACCCCCCATATGTACTCGCGAACAATTTGCGGACAATCAATTTCTATCTTTCTTCTTTGTTTCTACTCTTTACAATACTTATTTGTTTTTTGTACTGGTTCAGATCTAAGAAATGAGTTTATAAAATTTACAGGTTTATTGTTATTCCAGCGTTCAATAACTAATTTGTTTTCATTACAACTTCCATTTGTAAGAAAGAGAAAATTTTGAAATTTTCTTCGATTTCTTTGCAGCTGGAGCTATCTGCTGTTTTGCTCTAATTTTTCTAGTAAGACGTACCGAGTGTTGGTGATGGTGATGTCTCAGATGGAAGCGATATTATTTAAGATAATGATGGAACTTTTTCAAAGTTTAGTTCTCTAGATGGTGTATTAGGGAAAGTTTTCTGCAAAACTAGAGTTAATTGTAGAGCTTCGGAGTGGTATAAATCGGATGGTTCTAACGGCTGTTCATCATCATTTTGAATATGTTCAGATTCGGGACTATTATTGAGGTCTAAGCGTTCTAAACAAGAATTAATGGAAGGCGTAGAAGATGAAACTGGACTTGGAGAAGGTGGCGGCAATTCGTAGTCACTGTTATTTTCGGATTTATCACTATTGTTGGATTGTGCATGCTCGCCAGGAACAAGAGCTCGTATTCTATGAGTGCGATTTTGTATTTTATTCTGTTAATCTGTAAAAGCTCACCACTTAAAAGCATATTATTTGTAAATAAAAGTTATACCTAATTTGGCAATGTTCATCACAATGAACGTATCAAATTGACAATACTTGTTCGAGTATTTGGCAGTGTTCACTGTGATGAACAAACAAGTTTGCCTCCAAAAAAAAGTTACCAAAAACATAAAACATTACATAAAATCCATTCCAAACCAAAGCATAAACATTTTTAAGTAAATTAAAACCAGAAAAAAGTTAGTTTAGTTATGTAAAACATCTAAAATAAAAACATTTACCCTGCGAAGATTCGAGTGCCCGCGCCTCGCTGACATCTTGTCTCAATTATGACAGATAAACGATGCTGCCACTAGTTGAATTATTTTTTATACCGATAAATATACTTTAAACTTGCTATAACTAAAATAAAAACCAAGAAATAGTGAATAATAGTCGCTCAGTATTTATTTTTTATGAATGTTTATCACAGTGAACACAGTCAAATTAAGGGTTAAATCTAAAAATAACATACGGGGATAACTAATAATAATTCTATTTCTATAATATAACAATTAAAGTCGTTACGATTATAGAATTTCATCCTCTGATTTGAGAAAGAAAAAACACAGAATATAATAATGAAAAACGAACATCTGTGTCCAATGTCCATTGTCCATAGGTGTTCGTTTTTCATTTCCAATGATACAATACCTTCTTTGTTTGATGAGTCAATTCTTCTCAAAACTGAGCTATTACTTTCTATACTTCACCTAAAGCTTTTAGTGTCGATCAGTGTGTGTGTGTAAAATGTACCTAATTTGTAGTATTTTGACTTCATGACATTGTTGCGTAGTGGAGAGTGTGTAAAGTCATTACACCAAAAATAATAATTAAAAATGGCACGCCTGAAGCATGCTATGCATCTAAAGACAGTTGATAATTAAGTGACAGTCCGACTTGGATTATAATTGGACCCAGTTATGCAAAAAACAGCCATGTGCGTAAAAGTACCAACAGAGTTATAAGCATTTTTCTATCGATAGTTGCACTTGGGTTATGTTTGTTTTTCTGGTTATTTTAAAATTGAACAATATTTATATAAGTATTGTTTATTTTTTATAATTATTTTATTTTTTATAATAAAATGCTTATAACTCTGTTGATACTTTTATGCACATGGCTATTTTTTGCATAACTGGGTCCAATTTAAGTTGAGAAAGCTAAGGCGGGAGGGAAGCGTAACGTAGCTCCCACCTTAGCCTTTTCGTTAGGTCTTTTTTTTATTTCAAATGCAGAACTCCTGCTATCATTAGTTCTTTATGCTAATTTAAAAACCGGTAATAGATTTGACTCATTATTTAAAGATCGTTTTGGCACTTGGAAGTGACATTTTGACATTTCCAAGTGTCAAAATGGCAGTAATGTCATAATAATGTATGAAAATGTTGTAACTTTATCACCGGCCAATCTCAAACGTGACTCCTCCATTCAACGTGACATTGACGAAATAATTTGTGCTTAACTGGCACGCATTAAAGCCATTAAAGCAAAGAACAACAACTTTAACTCTCAATCTCTCCATATACTAAACTGCAGCCGAACTATGTATGCGCGTATTTGTGAATCACCAAAAGTGATTCTTGTAACTCAAAAAGTCCGTAGTGCAAAAGTCGTGCTAATTTCCAATCCCTGGACTGTAACAATATACAGAGAAATGGAAAATTAAGCTTTAAATTATAATTTTACCAAACGTACCATGTAATAGTTTGCTATCTCAATTCAACAATAGTAGACAGCTAGGCATTGATTGTATAACCTAAAGCACACAGGACTTTGATTTATAGCAAATATTATTTAAAGTCTATTCAATGATCCAGAAATTACTAGTAGTAAGACCAATAAAGAAACTTTTGAAATGGCTCAACAGAATTAGTTACCCACAAGTACACACCAAACTGCGCTAACATCAGATCAAAACTGATCGAACTCCAATCGGTCAAAACATCGAAAAGCTTACAAGTTGTTATCGAATATTTCGATTGATTTAAAGTCTCAACTTTTTTAAACTTTGCATAGCGTTTTCGATATACATTATTATCTTTTTCGGTTTTCGGAACTGCCTCGGTCGTGTAGTGCCTAGCATGTACGGCTGCACACCCGGAGGTCCTGGGTTCGAGTCCCGTGTCGGGCCAAGTTTAGTTATTGAGTCTTTCTGTATAATAAGCCTCAGTAACAGCCCGGAGTTGGGAAGTTGGCGGTGTTTCACCTCCTTGCCTCGGAGAACACATAAAGCCGTCGGTCCTGTAATGTATTAAAAAATTGTTGCAGTAAATAAGTTTAAATTAACGGCTTTTAAATATCTAACTATCCACCTAACTAAGACGTACATAGCGTCCATTTTTACGTCAAGGGTATAATATTAAGGAGTCTTAATATGCAACTAAAAATAGTATTCTGTTAGAGAAAAAGATTTAAAAAAAACATTTTTCATTCGTTTGAATTACCAAAATTAATTACTCGTTCAAAAGTTCGATTTTAACAGTCTGAAATTCAATGGGCTGTCTAGAAGACTAAATTTGCAACGAAATATTAGAATCAATTTTAAATAATTCAGAATGAAGTGTATGAAACCAACATTATGTTAATTTAAAACGGACTCAAAATTATTCTGAATAATATTTAAACACTTCAGTACTCAAACTTAGTATTTCGGTACGAATTATTTTAACTTGGTGAATAAAAGTAGGGCAATTGTTGATTAGATTATAATGAAACTTGAAGCTTAAATCATGATAATGAATAAAATTTCCTACAAAATTATGATAAAATTGATGAAGACATTTGGCTGACTGGCATTGCTTAGGTATACTCTGTTGTGAATGTTTATATGGAAAGCACACGTATGTAAGTCTAAAATTCCCTTTCGGAAAAAGTGAGCCTTTAAAATCCATATATACCCATACTTATATAATAAATGTGAAAATTTGTTAATCTAAAGAGTAAAGTTAACACTCTTTTTACAGGTTTGATTATGTGAAATTGCGTATTGCTATCAAATCATTGTGTATTCGCTTTTATACATTATTTTTAGCTATTTTTGGATTTCTATAACATCCTTCTAAATTATTCTGTTTCTTATAATATGTTACTATATCTAATACATTGTGAAAGCTAAACAAAATTCTTAGAATATATTTTTTCAAAGAAAACTCATCAGTTATTCTGTACAAATAATAAACTCTCTTATTATCTTTCATTTTGCTAACAGATAAATTGAAACGTAAAACATATATGAGCAGAAACTACCAAAATACAAGATTAACATTAGGTAATCACTTATGCTACATAAAGAACAAGTACACTTCTGAATCCATACAAATAATATCCATACTAATATTATATATGTGAAAATGTGTTTGTTTGTCCTTCTTTCACGTCGAAACGGATTGACGGATGGGCGTAATTTTTTGTGTGATAGTTGAAAAGCTGGAGAGTGCCACAGGAGATTATCTTATACACATATATCTTATCTACAGGGAAAAACTTTATAATACAACCCAATAAAATATATACATATCGACACTGTCGTAGAACAAAATCGGATCTACAAAATAGCTACTTTACAGGAGAGCCGTTTAAAGTTTTGAAGTCACATTTTTTACCATAACTTTTCTCCTATTTAATTAATTGAAAAAAAAATTAGGAATAGCCTTTTGTCTTTTATTAAGAGTTATTACTAGATAATAATAATAAATTTTTCTTTATAAAATAAAAAAAATGTGTTTGTATATTATAATCCGACGTTATATTACGTAACTTAGGACGTATGTTGTGACTTTCCGAAGTTGTTCAATGGAAAGTTGTACTACGTATATATACATGTCATGGTGTTCTGTGAAATTACAAAAGGGATATTGATGTCGTATGTTTTTCTAGATAAATTAAAAATTACGTAGGTTCTAAAAAAACTTTTTATTGCTTATACACAAGGTATATCTATATAAGTAAAGAAATGAAAAAATGATTATTTTTTATCCAAAATACAATTTGAAAATTGCACAAGCAAGGAATAAATCTAATTAAAAAATCTTGCCATTTGGTAGTTAAACTCTTAATATTAATTGTGCGACTCGTTAATAATCAGTCTCAATCGGTAACAAAATACATCAGTCAAATCACAAAATTTCAAAATACAAAAAATCTAAGACTCTTTAACAAATATGAGATCTCAGAAATAATAACATTTTAAATATCTGTATCAACAACAGATATGAGTAGGTCTTTAGCTATATATAATTATAAGATGAATATTAAATATAACTTAATGTTTATACTAGGAATATGATTGAGCAGGTACTTAATAATTACTGCACAATTAAAAATAAAATAAATATTTCAAAAACTAGTAATAACAAAAAATACTTTTCTTCAAAATTATCTCAGATCTGTTTAAATCCTTCATAAATATTTAGTTTTAAAATAATGTATTTTCTTAATCAAAACTATCAAATAAAATGAAATATCTAATGACATTTCATTTTGATAGGTTAATTTATTAATTAACACAATAATAAAAAAAATCACTCATCATCAAATGGTAGGGATTTGAAATAAATGCTATGTTCAGAAATGATTACACCGGTTTTGCACATGTGATCCAGATCAGTATATTTATCTTTCGATATTTTATACAAGCTGTTAGAAATAGGTTTTAAATCAGGTAGAGCCAGACATATTATAACCACTTTCATTGAGATCATATGGATAATATTATAATTAAGTGGGCCCCTTTTTTTTTGACATGGACTTCCTTTACCTGATTCCATAGAATTTACATGAAATCTTAACTAAAGTGTTTGGAAACAATATTGACGTTCGATTGAAGCCCTCTTAGCATATTTTGTAGGATTAAAACATTCTTTGTATAATAGAAACATACATTCAATACTACGATTACCGTCCAAGTATAGCTTGATCGATCTCTTAACGTAATGAGATAAAAGAATTAACGTGATCATAGACACTTTTTTTCGCTTTCAGAAGAAGAAGCTATTGGCAAGTTGTATTTATAAGTAAATTTACGTAAATTAGGTTGATCTGTGTTAAGACATCGATGCTTCTTTACTTCTAAATAAAATTTAACCACAAATCCTCACTGTTTCTCTTTGTTACCGAGATTCCAAAACCTTTTAAAACAATATACTCTTTGTTCATTAGTAATTTTCTCACTACATTTATAACGCATACCCATAACCTTTTTTTATCAAGAACTTTACCCCTCTTTGACACATTTTTTAACCTTAATTCGTTAAGCTTTTCCTTTTTACATTGGACCATGATTCTCTATTTTTGTTCTTTTTTTTCGTCCTGGAGACAGTACTGAATTGGTATCTAATTCGGAAAAAGAACTTAGTCCACTTACAGTACTAGGTGAAGATGGTACTGGACTATCCAGTGGTCGTATAAAGCAAAAAATAAGTCATTACATGTCTTGTGACTATTAGTCAGTAATGGCATGGGAGTAAGAATTATTAAGGGTGACGTAGGTGTAGGTTTTCAACTTCTTCGATGACCACAGAAGGAGAAGCCTCAAAACTGGTGTTGGTATCTTCTATACCAAATGGTGTCAAGTTTTTAACTAAATTTCGATCTTCATCGCACATCTGCAAATACTTTCTGCGCTATTCCCCTTAATTGGTTGACTATGATTTCCGCTACAGGGGGTAAAGTTGATTCTGGTTTTTCAACTCCAAGACCTGCAACATAGTAAAATATTTAAAGATATGTCTAAATAAGACAAAAAATTCTCAAATAAAAAGATCTAGTCATTTATATATCTATAATTAGCATTCAAACATGCTGAACAAAATCCTATATAATTTTATGCCGAAGAACATAGTTAGTTCTCAATACGCTACATCAAAAATGTGTAAGATTTCCGAAGAACAACGCCGTAAGTATTCAAACAATCTGTATAATTGAAATGAGTTTGGGAGAAAAACGAAAGTAGGAAACATACGACGTCAAAAATATCCAATACCATAACATAAGTAAATAAAGAATATAAATAAAGTACATAAAGAAAATATCATCAAAATATATTTTTATTAAATATTTTTTTTTTTTTCATTTCCGTAGAACAACGTCGGTTGCTAAGTTATGACACGGAATTTGAATAATTCTATATAAAATGTTAGCCAATCGTTTTTTTGTATGAAAAAAATAATAAAAGGCATTTATATCCATAAAAGTAAATATTTATAAAAATGGCTTACCTTCGTTGTCCGTATTTTCGATTGAATTACTTAAAATGCTGAAGTCCTGCCCGACGTAATAGTCACTTATTTCTTCATTATCTATCACTAACTTTAATATCTTTTTATGACCAAGACATTTTTAGGCTGTTTTTGTATTAAAAACTTTAAAAATATTGTAATAATACGCTAATGTAGAATCTATCATGTGTTGTTGTTAAATATGACCGGCTTTCCGTCGAACATCACCGCTGGTGACGATCGCCGCGCAGGGCGCGGCGCACGCGGAGCGATGACAACCGAGCGACAGTGGCGCTATTGAACTCGCGACGATTTTCATGGGAACAATTTTGAAATAATACTTTGTTCAATTGAATATTTCCGAAAGTACTACAAATATTTAAATTTTTCTTGAATATATCAATAGTTTATTATTAATTAAAGCTAATTCTGTAAAAAAATCAATTTCGTTGTAATATCATATCCGACTTTGTTCTACGGCAGTGTCGATATGTTAAAAAATACTTGAAACTTGGTATTAATGTTTCTCAATACAATTAAATAAATACAAGTTTTAGCATTTGTCGAAATTCATCCCATAAGGGAGTAAAATAGGGGGATAAGTTTTAGTGCGAGCGAAGCCGCGGGTTCTGCTAGTTAGTATATAATTTTCTAAACTGAATTTCATGAGCAGCTCCAGTCATCAATAGTTGCTTAATTTCTCGACCGCAATCTGTGCTTATGTTAGTCGTTTATAAGCAACGATACGACCTATTGATCGTATTATTTATACTAGTTTCATCTTGTGGTCAAATTTTAATCATAAACATTAAGAAAAATTCTTATCTATAGAAAAATATTATATATGTATAGAATTTACCTATCTATATTAAAAAAATATTTAACAATTATTTTTTTTATTGATAACACTAAAGTTAGTCAATAGCTACAAGCAAGAATAATAATCAGTTGACAAACAGGGGAAATTGATACTGAACTGTTTGTCTTTGCCTATTTACATATATGTATAGAGGGTAATAAATTATTTACAATTTACTTTAATTTTAAATTGAAAATTGTTTAATTCATTAGAGTCTTTAATTCATTAAGCTCTTTAAATTATTAAAGACCTATTTAAACTATGGATAAAAATATATCCAAATAAAAATTATATACTTTTAACAGCAGCTGATTGGTATAAGATTACTTCTATTACTTCATTATAGACCAGGGTAGAAGCCTTTATAAATAATAAAAAGTGAAAAAAAATAATAGTAGGATGCAACCCATTAGAAAATTTACACTTTTTTCACATAACCTCAAAATTTATGTGAAAAATTCAAAAAACCAAGTTTTTGGTTTTTTATTTTTATCTTTTACAAAAAAAATTTTTTTAACGAAATTTGGTGAAAACATGAAAATCGGCCAAAAGTTAGTTATTAAAAATATATTTACTAAACATATATTTAAACATTTGTTATAGATTTTAAATATATTTATAATATATTTTTTATACATTTTGACATTTATTTCTTTAATATTTTTTTTTCATGGGGGTATACTCACGATAAAATAGTGAAGGCATTAATAATTCGATTTTGTCTTTTCAGATTATCAGTATGGATGAATCTGTTTGTATCATCTGCAATATGGCAGATGATAAGCAAGTGTATGAAATAAAAAAGGTTTTTGTTTTTTGCATTTTCTCAGAAGATTTACTATAGTAACATATATATTTTTTCACCATTGGAAAGTAGAGATTTCAACGAACAGAAAACATACCAAATTTTTGATAAAAGCTGATATTTTGATGGGTGAATTTTCGATTGAAAATTAGGGTGCTTTTTCGATATTAATTCAAAATAAGGTGAAAAATAAATATTTTTAATCAAATAAATTACAGCGTATTTGGGACATAAAAAAGTAAGTTTTTACAAAATTTCGTTAAAATTTTTTTTTTTGTAAAAGATAAAAATAAAAAACCAAAAACTTGGTTTTTTTAATTTTTTACATAAATTTTGAGGTTATGTGAAAAAAGTGTAAATACAAAAGTTTTAGATCTTTTTATTACCTACAACTTTGCCATTTGACTTTTTTCGATAGGACTTTTAGTTTTGCCGGAAATCGAGAAAACCCATTTTTTACCCTTAAAAACTCACCACCATCCCCTTCCCGACCTCAGATCACCCGTAAATTATTTTTCCTTTCATTTTTATAATATTCCCCTCCTTTTCTAATGGGTTTCATCCTACTATTATTTTTTTTGGTTTTACAAAATTATCGACCCTGGTCTATTACATCTTCATAGAGATTCATCTTCATCTACTGTCTTAATTGAGATTTTAATTAAAATTTTGAAAACTTAAGAACCTGACATAAACTCATAAGAATAGTAGACTTGGCGGCCATCTGAATATAATTTAATAGTGTTTGCACTCAGCTCCACCTGCGTAGTTTATGTACAAAAGCTTTAGGATCGTAACGTGTTTGACAGCCTTTTTCAATAAATAAGCTATAAAATTCAAAAAAATGTTTTTAAATGGCGTAAGTATCTCTAAAAATTAGGGTATTCAAAGAAAAAAGCAACCACTTCAGCTTTATATATTAGTATATTATATTATACTAGCGACTCACCCTGGTTCCGCCCGGGTGCATAGTTACGGTTTAAGATAAATTTAAAAAGTACCTATCCTATATGTTGTCCCGGATAGCCAGCTATCATCATACCAAATTTCATCAATGTCTGTCCAGTGGATTTCTCGCGATGCGTTCCCAGACAGTAGACAGACATACAGCCAAAAAATTCAAAAAAAGTAAAATTCGGTTTCTGTATCGATAATAATAACTATTTCAATAATATTTTCTAAAAAATATTTAATGTACAAATTCGACTAAGAGTTTTTTTTATATTTAGGTATATATACAACATTTAGGTAAAATCTCTAATTATGTTGCACGCAAATACGAGTTGTATACGTAGAGCTGTCTGAAACCATCGCTTTTAAAACTTTATTTAAGGTAACGGTACCACCCCGCTTCTTTTTGCCTGTTCTAAAACGACTTTTTCAACAATCGATTCATTAATTTTGTATGATAAATATACAAAACAATATAATATGGTTTTTGTTTAACTTTATTATAAATATAAAACTAGAAAAAACATTATTTCAGAAATAGAAGTATAGAATAAAAAATTAACCACTCGTAAAGCTTTCGTAAAGCGTTTAATTAAATTTTAATACACGTCACTTGGAGGTGTCATTAATGTTAGCTATGACTGTTTTTTATTTCTTACGTTTAGGTACCTTTATTATGTCTAACGGAAGTACTTTGGAAACCAAAATTGAGACATGAAGTACTTTTAGATAATATTTATATTAAATGGTTTTTTTTAACTTATTTAAGCTAAATACTTCATCTCCATCATCATACATATAATAAAATTCTAACTGAATCGAATCTGTACATTGATATTTTTTTGGAAAACCTTATTGAAATAGTCATTGTTATCGCTACATAAACCAAATTTATAGTTTTTAGATGTTTTGTCTGTCTGTATCTCTGTCTGGGAACGCATCAGGACAAAACCACTGGACAGATAATGATGAAATTTGGTATGATGTTAGCTGGTTATGCGGGTCAACATTTAGAATACTTTTTACTGCAGAAAAATATCTCATCTCTAAGAAATCTATACTAATTACTAACCTTAAAATGTAGGGACGAGCGGAGCGAGGGTGAGTCGCTAGTTTTAGATAAAAAGCTATTTCATGATTGACAATGAAATCGCAAGAATACCTCTTCCTTTTTGAAATCGGACTAAATAAGCTGTGAAATAATAAAATATGACGAATAAAATTTATGTTAAGAAAAGTTAATTTAAATAATATATAAAATAAAAAAGCCGACTGCGTAATTGCGAACTAAAAGAAAATAGTATCATGCAGTCGGAGACATATAGTGTAAGTACTATTTACTTATTTTTTAAATTGGAAAACAGACAGCATATATAAGCATAAAATGCAGAATACATAAGAAACAATACACAGCCAATAAAGTTTCCACTTATACAAAAATATACTATGTACATGTTTTATCCTTGCTCCGATTCTTGCTATTTGTGTGTTTTCATCTTTTGGGATTCGTCGTTGTCGGGTTAAAATAGGCAATAAATATAGTTTGTTAAAAGATACAATAATAATTTTGTAATAAACAAATTATTATTTTTTTTATAAAAAGTACCTTAAAAAAGTTGAGAAAATATTTTACAAATATATCCATAAATATAACAAAAATTTGGTACAAAAGTTTATAAAAATAAGAAGAAAATTATAGAAAATTAAGTTAACACTTGAAACGATTTGTCGCTGTAAGTATAAAAGCCTCCACACAAAGTATCGAATGTCAAAGGCGAGCTGATCAACGTGATTGATGAATGAAACATTAAACTAGAGAATGAGAAACACGACCAAGGTAACCTATATACCACAAATTTAGTTAATGATTTAGATATTTTCGCCTTCACTTATATATACCATAATTTTAAAAATGACATATTTCAATATAATATAAAAAAACATATATAATAGATACAAAAAACACGACTGACTCGACCTTTAATATGAGAGAAATATGTTAAAATTTCTGGCCTTTTTTAAATTTACGCAACGTTTACTCAAAAGCGAAGAATAGAGAGATCCCACCCAACATGTAGGTATTGTCTAAACATGATTCAGAAGTGGAAAGTTACACTATTTTTTTTTTTTTTTTTCGTCAGGAAACCCTGTTGCCGGGTACCCGCCGCCTGGGGAAGAACGACGGGTTATGTGGGGCTCCCACCGCGCAAAGATGATAAACGCGCGGCAGCCTACCCACTAAAACCTGACGGTGTCCACCTCTGTCGCCTCCAGGTCGGGGCCACGGGAACCAAAATCATCCGCGAACCCCGACGGCGATTGCCCTACGGCACGTCTCGGTGTCGGAGGGTGGGAGCAGCACCCTCGACGACCACCGTTTGGAGTAGCGCGCGGGGGACACCGCGCGCGCCTACTCGGGCCAGGTGATTAGGCGGCAGACTTCCCCAAGTCTACCGCCCTCTGGCTGGTGTTAGGGGGGGAGGCGGCGATCGTGGGCCGCTCTCCGGCGCCCGGTCCTCCTGCGGCGGATGGCGAGCTCGGCGTTGGCCTCTCTCGCCCTCTCCGCCACCTCCTTCTGCGACATCACGACCTCGCAGAAGGACAGGACGGCATCCCAGGACCTTTCGCTTTCGGCCATGGCAGAGATCACGGCCGGCAGCGTCAGGTCCGCCCCCACAACACTTTTGAGCGCCTCGCGCTCCGT